CAAAAATCTGCTGGGAAATTCATAGGAAAATCCGTACAGAAATTCAGACAAAAATCTGTACGGGAATTCACGTGAAAACAAGCAAACAAAACAAAACAAAAACAAAACAAAAAAAAAAAACAACAACAACAAAAAAAACCAACAGAAATTTGGACAAAAATCTGCAGAAATTCATACAAAAAATCTGTAAGGAAATTCATGTAAAAATCCAAACAAATTCATAGAAAAATCTGTACAAGAATTCACGTGAAAACAAACAAACAAAAAATGAAAACCCACAGAAATTTGGACAAAAATCTGTGCAGAAATTCAGCCAAAAATCTGCTAGGAAATTCATATAAAAATCCGTACAGAAATTCAGACAAAAATCTGTGCAAGAATTCATGTGAAAACAAACAAACAAACAAACATACAGAAAAACCACAGAAATTTGGACAAAAATCCATGCAGAAATTCATACAAAAACCCATACAGAAATTTGGACAAAAATCTGTGTGGAAATTCATATAAAAATCCGAACAGAAATTTGGACAAAAATCTGTGCAGAAATCTGTGTAAAAACTCATGCAGAAACCTGTACAAAAACTTATACAAAAAATTCACGCAGAAATTCACATTAAAAAAAAAAAAAAGCATAAGAATTCCATGCTGTGCGATCCAAAATGTATTGAAATCGTGTTTGAATTGCATGAAAACTGAACTGAAATGTGAAAGATCTGAGTAAAATTTCAATAAAACCAGATAAAAATTAAACACCATTGATTTGTATAAGAATTTACATTTACTGCGTTAAACAGTACGAAATTTGTATTAATATGGATGAACATTTGCATTAAAATAAAGCAGGGCTGGATAAAAACTGTATTAAAACTCATTAAAATTGCATTAAAATAGTATAAAATAATATAATACATACATTGAGAGTAATAAAGTTCGTATCAGGAGGCACCAAAATTGCATAGAAATTGTTCCATCATGGCGTAAAAATTTGTTCAGCACTGCATTAAAGCTGCACTGGGATTGCATCAAAACTGCATCATGCTGTACAAAATGGCAGCAAAATGAATAGCACGGAATCTGCATCGGTGTGCAATGAGATTTGGATCAAAACGCATCAGAACTGCCTGAAGGTTGCTTAAAAATGGCATAAAAAACAGCACAGATGTTGATTAAAAATCCCAGCCAAACGGCATCGAGATCAGATTAAAAGTTGTGTTGAAATTCATAAAAACTGCATTCAAATTGTAGGGAAAAAAAAGCAAATTGGGCAGATTTTGCCTCTCAATAGTTTTGCTGGTTTTTGCACTTCCTGCCCCCCCCCAAAAAACCTGAGCTTCTGCGTTCTGCTGCTCATTGCGGCGCTGCTCACCTCGACTCCCGTGTCCCAGTCAACGGAATCATTGACCGCGATGTTGGGAAAATCTGGCCAGACCTAAAAAGAGGGAAAACGTCTCAAAATCATCTCTGTATTTTTATTTGTATGAACGGCATTATTATTGCACACGGCAAGGAATTCAGATTCGCTGCTGGATTTTCACAGAATCACAGAATTGCAGGGGTTGGAAGGGACCTCCAGAGATCATCGAGTCCAACCCAATTTTGGTGGTGAAAAAGGAAAACGAAGCTGGAAGCGCTCGGTGCTGGACGTTAAAGGGGGTTTGGGATGGGTTTAACCCAAACCCGAGTCCGGAATTGGAATTTTTGGGGGTGAAATGCCCCGATTCGGTGACGATGGAGGTACCTTCCCAAGGATGATGTCCTCGGAGCTGGGCCACTTGATGAAGACGTCCTTCTCCCTTCCCCTCGTGAAAGCGAGGTAATCGGTTTCGTTTGCTGATATGGCCGGGTCCTGGGGAGGGCAATGAGGGGAAAACAAGGAAATATTTGAAATGATGTCATTTTTTGGGGGGGCTCGAAAAGCAGGAATGTGAATTTTGGTGGGGTTGGAAACGAGGCTCACCAGAATGGGGATGTATCTCATGCCTTCCGCCCGGATTTTGTTGATGAGCTCCGGCAGGCCGGAGAAGCGCGGGCTCAGCTTGAAGTCCAGCTGGCGCTCCAGGTAATCGATGTCTGTGTATTGCACGTCCTGATTGGACGAAAACAACCCCACACCCCCCCAAAAAAGGATAAAAATTAAAAAAAAAAAAGGGCTTTTTGGGGTCGTTTCCTCCACGACATCGAAACGAGGTGAAAAACCTGACTTTTTGGGGGGATTGAGTGAGTGGGATTTGGGGCGGCTCAGAAGCGTTTTGTGATGGATGAACCCCGATTTCCCACGCTGGAATTCAGATTCAGAATGCAGAAATTCATCAAAATTTGGTGCTTGGGTCAAAATTCAGTTATTTGAGAGGAAGAAAAACCACCCAGATAGGTGCAAATCTACATGGAAATGCATCAATATATTCGACGCTCCGTTTTTTGACGTTTCTCGCTCTGTAATTTGACATTAATTATCAGTAAAATGAGAGCCAGGCTTAATTAAAGGGTAATATCATGGGGAAAAGAAAAAAAAAGAAAAAGAATAGAATGAATTATGGAAAAAAAAAATTCTAGAGTTAATTGTGGAAAATGTTAAGCATAGAATTAATTAAGAAAAAAAAGCTATCAATTAATAATAGAGAACTTGAATTGTGGCATTAATCATGGCATTTTTTTAATTATAGAATGAATTGTGGAGTTTTAACCATTGAATGAATCATGGAGGAAATTAACTATTTAACTAATATGATAACTAATTGATTTAACTAAAATCAATTATGGGAAAAAAAAACCCTACGGAATAAATTAGGGAAAAAATTAGTGCAATTAATTATGAAAAAAATAAACTCTAGTTAATGATGGGAATTTTTTACCTATAGAAGTAATCATGGGGAAAAAAAATAACTATAGAAGTAACTATGAAAAAATTTAATGATTACGGAAACATTTAATTATAGAATTAATGACGGAAAATTTTAACTATGGAATGAACTGTGGGGAGGTTTTACACTGGAGTGAATGATGGAATCTTTAACTCCAGGATGAATGATGGGAAAAAAAACTATATTATAACTAAAAAAACCTGTATTATATGTTAGATAATACGTATTATATTATAACTAAAAAAACTAT